CGCCCCTTAAACACAGACTGGCCAATCATAGTTTAGCTATGCGCCTCTGCGCCATTGAATCAATCCTTCCGGATTTTCTTCATATTCAGGCAGGTTTTTCTAGATGTGTGACTACACTTCTTTAGGTGTTGTGTAGCAGTGGTACTTGTTACCTGGCGAGTTCGGACGGAGACAAAAGTTTGTTTTTCTGGATAAAAACTAGGGAAGCTAACGTTAGCTGATGATGAGTTAATGTTAACTTGTATCTACGTTAGCTACTGTAGGTATTAAGTAGAGTTAACGTTAGCACTTGTATCTACGTTAGCTACTGTAGGTATTAAGTAGAGTTAACGTTAGCACTTGTATCTACGTTAGCTACCGTAGGTATTAAGTAGAGTTAACGTTAGCACTTGTATCTACGTTAGCTACCGTAGGTATTTTTCGGGGACTTTTACATTGCGGTATTTCTCCTCCTCCTATTGACATTTAGCTCAGTTCACGGTTCATTAATCGGTTCCCACAAGATGTCTTGTCCAGCATTGTGGTTAACAAGATGAAGAGGGGGTAGCGCGGTGCTACCGGTTGAGCCGGCGGCATAATCCATTAACTCTCAATATCCTTAACTGCTATTTACTGGTAATAATCTCCTGATTAGATTGGAACATTAGAGAAGAAAAGCTTTCTCAATCCCAAGTGGGTAAACCTCCCCAAAACAACTCGTAGACGCAACAATTCCACAGCAGACTGAAGACACATTACAATAATTAAATATTACCATAAAATGCCAGATGTTATGCATAACATCCGAATGCAAATGGATCGTAACTCATCAGCAAGCTAAAGTAAAGCTAATTAAAGATCACCGATCCGCAGCTATGAATAGGACAAGTGCCCTAAACAGGTTGCGGCTGGAACAAAGGGCTTGGCCTCTCTCTGTTTCCTTGTTTAATTTGGTAGCAGCACTTAGCTAGCTGCTAACCCATTCCTTAATTAAGTTTTGGCACCGCCGTGAGAGAGGCGCGCTCAGGCCGTTTTTTTGAGGTGGAAGGAAGTCTTCGGACCCAGTGGAATGTCCCTCACGTGGTTTGTGTTTGGTATTTACCCAGAGTTTGGGTTGCCAAGCGTGATGTAAAGTCCTCCACGGGAACATCGTAGGAGAGCGCGCGCTTGTGTCTGCTGTCAACACAACCGGAGTAGTCCAGCTGTGATCATGGAGCCCACAAACACAAACACACATACACACACACACACACACACACACACACATAAAGGAGCAGCATTCTTCGTGAGACAAAGACCTTTTGTCTCCGGGTTTGCGAAGATGATAAACCCGGCTCATTTGTCCCCTCTAGTGGTAGAACCCCACACAACAACGTTTGTTTTTACTGGAATTCTGTGCATAGTTCCTCTTTTTGGGGGGAATGAGGAAGCAGCTGGTGTGTAGGTGTGTGAGAGAGAAAGGGCAGAGAAACACACTCACTCACACACGGAGGATGAGGAGTCCTCCTCGTTGCCCCGTTGGTTTTGGTCCCCAGAGGTCCTTGCGCTTGAATATGAGGGGAGAGCCCCGCGCGCTTCCTGTCGGGGCGGTACATCCCCCGTCCCTCAGGTCACACTCAGACGCGTAGTGTTGACACGAGCAGAAAAACACCGGTTTGGTCTGGATTTTGTTTTCTGCGCGCTCCTGCTATTTGAGTTGGTATTTGGAAAAGCTCAGTCAAACTTGTCTTTCTATAATCTGCAGACGTGAGCGGATTATGAGACAATGAGGCCGCGTGGCACTGACATGCCAATCTGAAGCTGATTGTCCTCTTTGTGTTGCTCCGCAGCTGTTTTGAGTCTTGTTGTCGTCATTTTGAGTCTTTGTGGTTAATGTGTTTCATTACATATAGTCTCTTTGTGCTTATTTTGTCCCTTTTCCTAGTCTTCTAGAGTTTTTGTGAGTCACTCTGTGTCTGTTTTTGGTCTCATTGTGTCTCTCAGTAGTCATTATGAGTCGTGTGTTTGTGTCTCTCCTCAGATGTCTCAGTGGTTTTGTACCGTTGTGGTTATTTGGCCCATTTTCATAGTCGTTGTAAAAGAAGTTTCTCATTGACGTGCATTCATTCTTAGTTTTTGTTCCAGTCATGTGGAATCTCTTCCTGCTTTAGTTTCCATCTGAGTGACATTTAATAGTTGCAGTCTGCTTTTTATTCTTCTGAGCATTAATATTTGTGTCGTTGTTCAATGAGGTCATCAGTTTCTGGTTGATCAGTTTACTTTCAGTCTTTTTCTTCGTCCAGCTGATCAGTTTTCATATATTCTCCTCGTTTCCTCCAGTTTGTCCTCCCGGCTTCTCTCTCTTTGTCTCTCTCTCCTTCGGTCTTTGTCTCTCTCTCCTTCGATCTCTCTCTTTCGCTCGCTCTTTCTCGATGAACTCGCTTGTTCTAGTTTCACTCCTCCCCTATCTGATTACGAATTTCACTGGAAACACCCACGCAAAACACACACACACACACACACACACACACACACACACACACACACACACACACACACACACACACACTAATTTGGATAGATTATCAACAAGTCAAACTACTTAACTTAAATTCTGTTTTTCATGTCAAAATGAAATTTAAAATAACGGTTTATTGACTTTTTAAGGTTTTACAGTGTGACACATCTGTTCTGGTTGTTTGCACACAGTACACGGCGTTGCTCAAACTAAAGAAAAGAAAAGCTCAACATTGGGAAACATTCGGATTGTGCATAATTCCAACCCATCTCTGTTAACCGATTTCCTAGGGACTATTTCTGTAGTTGAAAGTACTTTCCGCGACAAAAAGTCCACAATGAGGAATTGATTTCATGCAGAGAGGACTGCTATTAGAAAGTGACATCACCCACTATTAGACACTATTGTGATTTACACAAAACCATCTTTTGGGCAAAGCGACCCTTTAAGAAAATAATTTACATGCGAAAGCTGCAGGTGCAACAGGTCACATCAGGGCGTTCAGAGGAATCTGCCAACTTGCAGTAACATAGACGCTGAACCCATGAAGTAAGTGCTTATGTGGCAGAATGAAAAGTACAAACGCGGTGAGAACTCTGGGTTTTTTTGTTCACACTCGTATCGGATTATGAGAACACTGCTGGGAAAATGAAAACGAATGAGTGTGTGTTGTTGGTATCTCTGCGTCTAGAGAGGTGATGAAAACAAAATGCGGTCGGGTAGCATGTTAACACTAACATGTGCACTATGTGGAGAATTCTGATTATGTGTTTATTTTGTGTTGTGTAATACGGTTTAGGTTTCAGACAGCACACAATTGCATGCGACCAAGCTTAAGTTGCACAATTCACTTCAATAGACGTCTGCATTGCATTAATAGCACATTGAAATGAGTCTGTTTAATCGAATCAAAGGAGGTGGATGATCTAAATCATCCACACAATAATGTTTTTCCTTTTTTATCCTAACAACATGTTACATTTATCCCTTTCAATAATGCACTCACTATTGCTCGTTGCACATCTCGCTTTGCTCATCCCACCCTTCGGCTCACGTAGGGTCTGAGTGCCAAACACTGGAGGGCATTGTGCAGGGAAAACATTGGGTTGCGCGTGGGGAGGCAAGGATTTCATAAGAACACCAAAAGCTGATGCGTTTAAATTGTTAGCATCGATCTGCTGCCACCTGGTGCCGGTAGAGGAGGACTACAGGTGTGTGCTCTTGTTCTAAAAGCAATAGGCTACACGTTTATGAGAATGTGAAGTAAAAACAATCACCACAACAGGGGGAAAGTACTCCCCCCCTAGTGACACTGGGGGGGATTGCTGCCTATAATTAATAATGTTATTATGTGTTACAGTGATACAAACTAGAGATAGAGCATGTCAATGTGATCACTTACAGTTTGGGGAACCTGAAATGTTTCAGTGGTATTTAAAATATTGTATTATTGTCTTGCATTCTTTGAAGGTAACGAATGTTCTCTGCAAACACCGCTGAATCCCAAAGTAATTTTTTGAGTGCATTTTAAATGTATTATTAGTTCCATGTGCGTTTTTTGTTTTATAATTACTATAATTCAACACATGGTTGGGTAGAGTATATTGTCCCTAAGTAGTGTCAAAATGAATCAAGAAATAAATAAGTACATTAAATAACTTTTAATTTACAAAATAGATGATTCAATTAAAAAAAGACGAAGTCAAAAAATGTCACGGAATAAAAGTCAAAAAAATATTTGGACAATAATCATCCAAATATTTAATGTCTAAATATATTACAAAAAAGTATTTGCCAGTTCAAGAAGTTCAAGAAATATTTCGAAAAGAAAGTCCAAAAATGTTATATGTCTGTGTCTTGAAACAAAAGTCCAAAAATATTAGGTCAAATAATGTTAAAAATAAAAATAAAAAAAAGTCAAAAAATGTTGCGGAAAATATAATCAATGCAATTAATTTGTAACTATGGACCATTTCCTTACGAATCAAACATGAAAATAGAGAAATTGGCGAGTGAATGCGATTTGAAGATATCTCACAAAGGACTTTCTTTTTGTTTTGTATATAAATTCATGAAAAAGGCAGTCCTCTGTTAACATTAACGTTACAAAAGAATATCGGAAAGCTGAAACGGGCAAAATATGCAAGAATATTATAAACTTCAGTTTTCTTTTCATCTCACAATACATGCAGAAAATGCATTTTATTTTTTAAGAGAGCGAATAATGCTGAAATATCCTGTAAAACAGTAATAAAATATGTGAAAACACTTAAAATCACTTTTACTGTAACAGGGAGCAAAAATAGTTGTTTCTCATTTCCAAAGGTAATACTGAACTCCAACCACCAGCTGTCAGCCTCGATCTTCCTGTGTTCAGATTTTGATTGGATGACAATTGAAGGTATTAGTTCATGCCCCAATTCTCTCTCTCTCTCTCCTAAAAAAATATCTAGCCCCCACCCTCCCTCTCAGCCAAAATAACAAAATGCTGACTTCTCAATGTGCGCCCAGTCAGTATGCCTGTTTCAGCAAAGCAGCCACTGAAGAGCGTGGGGGAGTAGTGAGAGAGAGAGATAGAGAGAGAGAGAGAGAGAGAGGGAGGGGGGGGCAACTTTCTCTGGTTTCTAACTGCAGACCGCCTTGCCGAGGGGCTTCATCACTGCGCTTCTGTGACGGTAGGTGTGAGGCTGCTTATCCTGTTGCTCTGTGTGGTTTTTCTTTTTTCGGGGGGGGGGGGGTGGGAAGGACCCCAGTTAAATCTCACCCTCTGGGTTGCCTGTTTGGAGGGTGGGCTCCGTGTTCTTTAGCTTTGTCAGACATGGGCGACTCGTTGTCCAACGATTGAAATATTTCTTTTGGTGACTTAATGCTCAAACCTATTTACTATTACAAATAGACATATTTACCTGCTGCATGTTTGAATGTGACTTTCCAGGCTGAAACTCTCCAGCTTGTGTCACTTGATGGGCTTCTGCAGGGGGTCAGCAGGGTGTCTGCAGGGGGTCAGCAGGGGGTCTGTAGGGGGTCAGCAGGGTGTCTGTAGGGGGTCAGCAGGGGGTCTGCAGGGGGGTCAGGCAAAAGCTGAAATCGTGTTGCTCTAATGAAGCCATGACATGCGGTGGGTTGAGCCACTCAATAGCTGCTCGTTGCTGCTGTTAATTGGCCAGAGGGGATTTGGAGATGTTTTCTCAATAGATTGCGGAGTTTTGGACCTGAGGAGGAGGGTTAAGTTTGCCCTGCTCCTGGACATCCAGACTTGTTGAGGTCCAATACTATTTTTTATTTGATTATCTGTCACTGGATCAATAATGTTGTGAATCCTCTCGACTTCGTGCCGTTCTCGCTTCCAAATTGGCATACTTTGTTTGAATTAAACTTTTCTACTTCTCTTTTGGAGCGAAACCTTTTCATCCGAGTGGTTCTCTGGTGCCTTTCTTCTTGGTGTTGTCTCAAAGAGCAACCCAAGCCGGGGGGGGATTCACACGGCTGGAAGTAGCTGACTTGTGAAGCTAAAATTAAGCCGAGGGCAGATTTTGGAATGTTACACTTGGGCTGTAAGACGAGGAGAAGACGACCCGTGGATGGCAACGAATCTTCTGAGCAGTCGGCGGCCGAATGGCAACTCGCAGCCCGTTCGAATAAAGGAGACGAGGGAAGAGAGGTTTTTGCTAACATCACACCAAAAGAACAGAGATCAGGGAGGGATGACCTCAACGTTTATTTCCTGCTCCAGTAAAAACAAGCGCCCTGGCACAGAAGCCGAGTGTAAATCATTCCGGAGCATTTATGAGAGTACAACCATTGTCACTATGAAATCCAAACCCTTGTAAAGGTCTTTGAAACGCACACTTACTCCCCGCCGCAGCTCGTCCTGATGCACTACTTTTGTCTTCCCCAAAATGAAATTTGCGCAACGCGCTCCTCAGATGACTCCACGAGCGCGTCCTCGCTCAGAAGGAAGCACCGGCCGGGAAATCTCTGAATGCTTTAACTGCCGTGACCAAAGGGCCCACGCTCAAAGCTCAACAGATGGTTCCAACGACGAGGCCGCTTGTAGCAGCTGCAGTGGCCTTCGCTCCGTCCGCCTGCATGCGGGCAGGGCCGCTGTTGCACCGGGGCACCAAGGCTACGTTTGGACTGCAATTCAAGACGATTTGCGTCTCACTGCAGTCTTATATTGGATTAGATTTGCATTATCCAGACATCATCCACCTATCTGGATTGTTTGCTGTGGTAACACACCCCTGAAACAATCGTTCAGGGCACCAGACCAACCCGGGCGAAGACGGAGGCCGGAAACACGTAGCGGCGTCATGGGGAAGCAGCGGCAACCAACTCCAAATGGAAATTGGCCCCGATTAGCAGTCCGCATTAGAAAGTACTTGAGTTGTTAGTCTGAACGCGGCTCCTGTGACGGCCCTGCAGGACGGGTCAGCTCGGGGGATTTCAGTCTGGTTATTTACGCCGACTCAGGTAGAATGTCGGCGGTTGTGTCACGACTTTCGATCTGATAAATCGCTACTGAACTGAAGTTTACTCCCACTTGCTTTGATTTTGCCCCAAATTAGTTTAAACTCGAATGACCCCTGATGCTTTTTTATTAAAGTTGACTGAGTGACGTTCCCTCGTTGTTCCACCGAGCTGTAACTCTGACATTCATCTCAGGAGAACGCTAAGATGATTCTGAGACATTCTGTCTTGACTTGCTAAGAAGAGTCACGCGTCAAAATGTGACTCCGTCAGCTTTTTCTGGCGTTTTCACCCTTTAGGAAACATCCAACCAGTCTCTCTCTCTCTCTCTTTCTCTCTCTCTGGGGTTTTAACAGTGAACACCCGTCATCAAAAAGCCAGAATAAAACGTGGACAAACATTCACAACCAGCTCATCACGTCTTTCATACAAAACAGCAGCTGCAGGTGCGCCAGATGGTTGGGATTTAAAAACTGGCAGGAGAAAAGTTCCAGGACCAGCTGGTCACCACTCACAGTTTGCGGTGGTTCATATGGAAATCGTGCTGGTGAAAGAAGCACAGTCGACCCCAGGAAAACACAATGGTGGGCCGTGCTGTTTGTACGCTCACCGCGGGGTTATTTTGAGCTTTGTCCATGTATTTCATTCATTTTTCACATCCTATCTATTTTATGTTAGTTAACAATCAGAAATGATTCGAAGTTCCCTAATCAGGAAGAGGAGTGTGGTGTTCTAGGACCAGCAAACCAGTGATCTGTATTTAGATCTTCGGTCTCTGCCGGCGCGCGGTGCCCTGAGCCCTCCCTCTTAGCTCAGGTGTCAGCAAACAACCAGGCGTTTAACTCAACAATAAGCGCGGCTCAAAGGCTCGACGGCTGGCAGATCACATCAGCCTAGTTTGGACCGTTGGACCCTTCTTGAGTCCCAGGCCGCGCTGTGCGTTTAATACAGGAGAAACGCTGATGGTTAAAGGTTAATGGATGAATTACTTGTTTTAATGTGGGATAGCACCTGTCTCAATTACTCAAAATATTAGGTATTTTCCAGTTTGGTTTGGTACCATATTTCCAGTTTGGCTGAAGCCCCTCTGGTTGCCCGGCACTTTTAAAAGATCCAGTCGCTTCTTATTCGGTTATTCCGTAATATTCTGGGGCGACGTAAAAAGTCTGACAACAGCCGGGTGGATTCATCCTCCACCCTTTGAGCTGCAGCCTCCTTCCCGCCATCCATTTAAATCTCCTCCATCTTCCTCTGCAATCCGGTGTTTGTGTCATTGGCTTTACGCGTTAGAGCCACGCGGCGCCCGCGAGAAGTGAGCGACCGCTTCAAAGGTCTGGTCCGAGGAGAAGATCTGAAGCTCGCTAACACACATCAGCCACATGGTGTGTTTCAGTCTCCAGTCACAAGAAATGTGTAACCTGTGTGTGTCCTCGCCAATGAATTGTAATCTGTGATCGGTGACTCCAAACAAACATGCGTTATCTTAAGCAGAACAAGGTTATGCTCACACAGTTTGTGCAGATTTGTGTTCCCATGGTAACCGGGATCCCGTACCGTTGTCGGGGAAACCATGGATGTATGGAGACAACGGCGTCGTACTGCGTGTAGTAAAGAAGTAAAGAAGACTCAAGTTCAAAGTTGGGACGACTTACCTGAATATGCTGATGCATCCAAGTACAATATGATGTACTTCAAGTAAATTAAGAAAGAGTTAAAGGTCTTCATCTCTGCATCTATGCGCCAATGGAGCGAGCCATTTCTTTAACTTTAAGCCCTTTGTGGAACCTAGTGCTGATTCACATAAGCTATGTTAGGCTATTAGTGCATTTTACAACTTTAAGGACCAACTGAGTTAATGAATTCAAGTGTACTGTTTTCTACTGGGAGGTTACCTGCAATAAAAACCACAGAGAAAGACCGTCGATATCTACAAGGAATAGTTTAAAAAAATAAATAATTGTGACTTTGGTTGAGCTTAAACGGCACATTTCAGCGCATTTTGTTCTGGGTTTCACAGTTTTATCCCTTAAAGAAGGTCTTCTTTGAAGCCTTCCGTAAATGCATGAATGTGATTGTGTACTTGTTACCATGACACCTCTTGGATGGGGGTCGGTTCCTGACGACCACATTCTGCAACCTGAGCTGTGACGGGTCCTCTGTCTCCCGCCAAGTTGGGGTGATATTTGGACTGAAAAGGAAAACAACGGCCCTCACGAACCTGATAGCTGCATTCTCTGACCCGAGGCCGTCATTCCGGGACCCGTCCTAATTCATGCGTAGTCTAAACCAGCTGCTCTTTGCTTCATCGGAGGGTGTTTGTCGTTGTGCGTTTTTTTTCCTCTCCGGGTGCAAATGCATTGCGGGTGTGTCCACTACTGTGAGAGCGAGTGTCCGTCAGTGATAAATAAGGGATTGCACCATCCACCCCTCTCCGTTCTGCTATTCTTAGTCTCTATGCGGTGAGCTGCGGGTTTAGAGTTACAAAGAGTTTGCTCGCTCTCTCTCTCTCTCTTTGACGTCCTTCGCTTCTCGGACTCGCTCTACTTCCTCTCGTTTCCAAACAGCGACACATCGGTGGATGTTATTCACCTCTTGTGTGTTTCTTCAGGTAGAATGAAGCTCTTGTTGTGCTGGTGTGTCTATGCAGACTCTGCAGATTGTTCTTTGGAAATACATCTATTATTATCATCCCCACATTAGTGCTACTCATTGGGGGGGGGTCCCAGAAGTGACTTAGCGCATTGTCAAATATTTCCACTAATTGTGTTGCTTAGGGGTTAAACGTTTGATGAGCGGAGGACCCGACTAACCCTGATACATCCCTTCCTCTCTCTTCCCTCCTCTCACAGTGCCCTCTTGCCCAGGGGAGTGCATCGGCGTGTATGACTGAGCGTGTGTGTACGTGAGCCAGAGCCTCAGGAGCCATGTCGGACCCCCGGGACATCGACGAGGATGCCATCCTCAAGGGCCTCAGTGCTGCGGAGTTGGACCAGCTGGAGTGTGAGCTGCAGGAGATGGACCCCGAGGTACGAGGAAGCGCTGCTGGTCCCCCTACGGGGGCTTTGGGGGTCCGATTTGACGTCCCGCTGGTTTTGGTTCCTGTATTTCTGTGACGTATCTGTTCAACGGTCAGCAAAACCTGCAGGACGACTGACCTCGGAGATGAGAGGTGCATGCAGTTCCACTTTATTTAAAACTCCTCCCTCAGTGAGCCCACGCAGTGATTACGTGTGCGACTAGCAGGGAGCGGCGAGAGAACAAAGGGCAAAAGATCAATTGAAGTGAAATCAAGCGGCAAACTCAACCAGTAAAAGAACCTGTTGCCATAACAGCGTTTCCCCCCAAATTAAAACGTCAAAAAAAAGAAAAGAAAAGAAAAAAGAAAATGTTGTCTCGCGTTGTCTCTTCTTAAAGCCGCATCCCCTAACACCTGACCCCCCCCCCCCATCTCCCAGAATGCCATGCTGCCCGCTGGCTTCCGGCAGCGCGACCAGACGAAGAAGGGCCCAACGGGGGCGTTCGACCGCGACGCCCTGCAGCAGCACTTGGAGAAGCAGGCCCTGGAGCACGAGGACAGGGAGGACCTGGTGCCCTTCACTGGGCAGAAGAAAGGTGTGGAAAAGACTTTTTTGTCCCCCTGCTGCCTCACACAGCTGGACAGCGTTGTGGTCTGCGATGCGCCGCTGCACAGCAGCTCCGCCTCTCAGCCTCGGCTCTGTGTGGGGTTTCTGCAGCTCACTGGGTTTCGGGGTAATTTCCATCATAGTCGGACCGGCTGAGACGTCCAGACCATCATCAGGATTTAGATTAGCTGAGAATATCTGGCCCGTAGTTCTTGTGGGACTCAACCTGCGTGTAAACCAACTCCAGATGTGTCGATGAAATACACGTTTTAAACTATTCAGACACAAGAAACATGTCTAAAGAGCAACAAAACAAAAACAAACTGATGTCATTTCTATTATTATCCCTCTCTGCTTTTTTTCATTTTTCATTCCCTCCTCTGCGTCTCCAGGAAAGAGCTTCGTGCCCAAGAAAGAATCCGAGCTCCCCGGGCACGAGCAGGTGATGCTGGAGCCGGAGCTGGAGGAGGCTCTGAAAAACGCCTCCGATGCGGAGATGTGTGACATCGCAGGTCAGACGCACACCATGACTACGACTCAGTGTGTAGTTTGAGGACTCAGCCCATGTTTTATTGGAGCTATAAACCTTTTCCACCCGTCATTGATGATGGCTCAAATTACTCAAATGTCCTAATTTGTCATTGGCTACGAACTGGCCAGTAGTTACGGTTAATCAATTGATGAGTTATCTAGTCGTCCATCCGTCCTGTAACGTCATGGTTTTGTCCTCGCGCTCGGTCTCACAGAAGCAGGTGTTTTGTCCCGGCGGTTCTGGCCCACAGAGTTCTATAATACCGACCCTTCGTTTTGTTTTCCCCCCCTCGAGACAGCTCGGTAGCATGCGACAGGGTCCAGTTCTCCAGACTCAGCAACACCAAAATAAATAAGCCTGGCCCGCGGCCAGAGGAAGGGTGGAGCGGAGGGTGGGGGTACTGTATCTGTTACTAACAGACCAGTGGGAAGCTACAGATGGACAAGCCGATGTTTGTCTATTTTTTAATCAGATCTCAGTGCGATGCGACAAGTAATCTCCATTTATATATTTAACATTTAGGATTTGACATTTTTAAGGTCTACATACTTACTAAATACTTGCACTGCAAACAATGGATGGCTTGATTTCAGACTCGTGCTAATTCAGCTAGCATTAGCCAGGTCGAAAGGTTTGAACTTTTCTATCTGGCTTGTTTTTAGAACGAATATATTGTAAAGTTGTTGTTGAATATGCACTTGAGGACACGTCAGGCACTGAACCTCTGGCTTTAGTTCAGCTGATCTTTGCTGAGGTCGTTTCCTGTTCTGGCGTTTCTAGTGACTTCAAGGCGACACCTCCCTAACTCCGTATGAATGCAGAGCAACGTAGAGCGTAAAACAAAGATGTAAGGAAAGATTTCTGGATCAGCGGATCCTTCAGCTAGCGTGAAGACCTTCTGTAACTTAACCCGCCTCAACTCAAAGCGCTTGCGGACAGCCACCCCCCTTCACAAACTGGGCTGAATTGAGACGTAGAACAGTGGAGATGTGTTTTTCGTCATGGAGTGTGATGCTTTGAAAGGCCCGAACACGCGGCCTCACAGAGAGCGCCCGGCATCCGGAACGGCAGTTTGTCCGGCTCCATCAGCCTGTCACAGGGCCTGGATGGGGTCCAGAGGAGGATTAAACCTCCGCTAGTCTCTGTCAGTCTTTTGTTTGGGCTTTTTGGCAAAGCGAGTAAAAGCCGGGCAGACTCGCTTAATGCGCCCGGAGAGACGAGTTCATTCTCACCTTTTATTTATGTCCGCGCGGTGCCACATCAGGCCTTTTCTTCTCTCTGCGGTCTAGTTTGTGTTGTAAAGCTACCGTGGGTTATTCTAAGGAGCCAGACCGGATGACCGGGGGGGGGGGGGGTTATGGTTAGTAAGCACCCCCCCTCCCCCCCCCCCATAAACCGAGCAGCTGTCCCCATGGTTCCCCAACACCGGGTCAGGAGGCTGGGATGGTAGAGGGTGGAGGGGGCAACAGGAGGTCTGCCACCTGCTGGTCATTAGGAGCAACAACAGAGATATTACATTTCATGTCCGTTTTTTTCCTTCTTTTTAATTGAATAATTATATATGTGCAGACACATACCTGCATAGTGTTACTCCATTTCCAAACAAATTAAACTGCACTGCTTACAAGTTTACACTTAATGACCAATTACTTACATTAATCCAGTATCATACAGACTACTACAACATCATCTTAACCCGTTGTTACTTCTTACTATTCACATTCATGATTTACACACAAAAGCGAAATGATTCACTGCTAAATATTAAAATCACTGGAGGCCCCACCGCATTTTATTGCAAATGAATAAATGATGCGGTTTGCAGAACACTTGTCAGCATTTTTCATTGCCTCTTGACTCCTGGTCAGACTCCTGACAGGAGACAGGTGACTCCTGTCTTTTAGAAGTAGGCTGTCCAACACTCCGGCAGTGTCCTCCTCTCTTAAAGAGTGTGTGTGTGTGTGTGTGTGGTCTTTTAACACTGACATCAGATAGAATAACTCCATCTCTATAAAAGTTAGCGGCCCACCCTGAAACCTGTGATTAACTGTGTGCTATCCGGACCTCCTCGGGACCCCCGTGAGATTCCAACGAGTCGCCCTGCCGGGCTCGGGCATGAATAACCTCCTCACATCAAACTCAGAGCCGCACACCGATGACAATCCGAGGCCCTCGTCATGACGATGTCACCCACCGCTCAGGGACGTCTCCATCTCGTACTCACAGCGGTTGTTTTGCTGTACTTGCAGCGATCCTTGGAATGTACACGCTGATGAGCAACAAGCAGTACTACGACGCTCTGGGCACCACGGGAACCATCGCCAACACGGAGGGCATCAACAGTATGTATGCCGTCGCTTCATGGACAACGCAGCAGTGTTTTATCGGGCTCATTTTAAAAGTCATGGTCGCGATCATGTGTTTTCTTCAGCCCTAAATCGCTTCCCAAGCGTCCTGGGAAAAACATTGAATCAATTTTCTAGCTGGAAAAAATATTTCCACATTCTCCAATTTTCTTTAGCGGAGGATGAGCTAACGGTCTGATCTATCAGAGCTACCCAAAAAACGAACGTGCCATTGCCCCCTGACATGTTAGTCTACCAAGTCCAAGAGTCTCGCAACAGGCTGCTCTGTGGTGTTAATAACCTTGAATGAAGCCCAATAAATGAAGGAAAGATCCTTAGACCGGGTCCCCACGTCCCTCTGGAGCCTCAGCTGCAACCTTGCGTGTCCAATAGGTGTCGTGAAACCAGATCCATTCAAGATCTTCCCCGATGAGCTGCCCAACCCCACCAACGTGGAGGAGACCCTGGAGAGGATCCACAACAACGACAGCAGCCTGACCGAAGTCAACCTCAACAACATCAAGGTCAGCCGACGTCGACTAAAAGTCATCTCTGTGTTTAGAGACGCTCCACTGTGGTCACGTGACTTCCCATCGTCACCACAGAGCTAAAGCAGCAGCAGTGCTCTCGTCAGTCGTATCATTGAGGCGCTTGTCAGCAACCGCTTGAAAAAAATGCGTCTGTGCTGCAGGACATTCCCATCCCGACACTCAAAGAGATCTTCGAGGGCATGAAGGGAAACTCCTTCGTTGAGTCTCTGAGCATCGCCGCGACCCGCAGCAACGACCCCGTGGCCTACGTGAGTATGACGCGCAAACGAGCGCCGTGCCAACAGGCAGCAGGTCTTTAAACCCGTCAGGAACATACATTGTGCATCTCTACCGTTACACCCATCGGCATGGCACCCGTTATCCTGTCCGTCCACAAATAGTAATACACACCAGAATGCGCCATGAAAGGTTTTTGCATCCATTCAGGCGTGTGCCGAGATGCTGCAGGAGAACACCAGCCTGCAGAGTCTTAACGTTGAGTCCAACTTCATCACCTCGGACGGCATGATGGCGGTCGTCAAGGCGATGGCCAGCAACGCGACGCTGGTGGAGCTCAAGATCGACAACCAGGTCCGAGACGCGTAACCGAAGCGCAACCTTCTAGAACCACACGAGCGCCAGAAATATGAGGTGAGACCTCGACGGCCGCTTGAGGCGTAACACTGTCGATGGCGTTTCCAAACAGAGGCAGAAGCTGGGCGACTCGGTCGAGATGGAGATCGCCGCCATGTTGGAGAACAACTCCAGCATCCTCAAATTCGGCTACCACTTCACCCAGCAGGGTCCCCGCGCCAGGGCTGCCATGGCGATCACACGGAACAACGACATGAGTGAGAGGAATCCTTCAGTAGCTCCCACGTGGACTCGTGGAAAGATTGGAGTGAGCGTTGTGTGAAGTGCGCTTTGGGGGTAACGGAAACCGTCTTTTCTTCTCTGCAGTTCGCCAGCAGAGATTAAGATGAGAGCAGCGCAGACGGATGAACGGCCGGCTTCCTGCGTGCGGAGCGCCGGGACCGAACCGCCCCCCCCCCCCCCCTCGCTAAATAAAGCCGGATCGCTGTGCGGCCCACCTAACACCCATTTCATTTACCCCGAGTGCTGAATTCATCATAAAGGCATGTGTAGGTCACAAGCAAAACGCGAGGTGTCTTTTCTTTCTGTTCTTTTAACATCGTTCTCATCATCATCATCGTCAGCCTAAAACACAAAAGTCTTTTCATTCATGAATGACATTTTCCAATGTGGCGCTACATGTTGGAAGAAAAACTGTAAATACTTTAAATAAAAATATATATTCAAGTATTTATATTGTAAATGTTTGGCAAGTTTAATTGGATTGTTTCTACGCCTTGTCTGAACATCACATATTTAATTTGGGATGTATGATTATCGTTCTTAAGCTTAAATACACCAAAGAGGGGCAAACTTTGGTGCACTTAAATAACACGGAATATTTTGAGGCATTTAAGTACCTACAGCTCAACTGGACATAATGGTTGTGCAGGAGGTCAAATGAACTAATTGTTTGATATAAATCTGCGTTAGAGGCACAGGTCCGACATTGACTAAATCTTAGCATGATAAATGACTCTCTTAACAGATCAACTTCCACCTTATATTTACAACTCGGCAGCATTTTTGAATAAAGTCTCAGCACTTTAATCCCTTTAAAGTCTCCTGATCCTCTGACTCCCCTCATGCACCTGAGCTATTTTTACCCCCCCTCTCCTCCTCCGATGGGACCCGTAACCTCGTCCGCTGGGCTTGAGTTACCTTGTTCCAAATATACCGACTTGAGGAGGGCTGCGCCCGAACTTTTATGACCACAAACAGCTGCTAACCTCTAACGGCCTCTGTTCACTGCGTCCGCTTTATTTCTTTTGGCCATTTTTTCCATTTTTGTGTTGATAAAACCATTGCATGAAAGATAGAAAGCTCCCACAGGTCCCGTCACTCAAAGCCACAAACTACACACTTCTCTCCTCTTTGACCGTTAAGCCTGGTTGCAATGCATGCTGGGGCCGACGTATTTATTGTAATCATGTTCCGCCCGTTTCTTTTATCATAGATATATACACACACACGTCCCTGGTACATTAAAGTGGCACAAGTGAAACGGCAGCTGATGTTAAAGGTCGTTGATGCGAGTCTCCACAATCAGGTGAACTTTATCAAGTGTCTTCTCGCCGTGATGCTCTCAGCTCCAGATCTAATCAGATGAGCGTGCTTCTTTTTTTTTTTAACACACATTAGCAGTGTCATCAGAAACTAACCCCCGTGCTAAGTCCCGCTGACCCTGACGGTGTTATCGGAGTCATACCGGCTGTGTGCCGGGAGGAGCACAGAGCAAACACCCTGTGAGGAAAGCCAAGCGGAGGCTCCGATGAAACTGCCCCGCTGAGCCTGGGAATAAGATCGCTGGTTCTGTAGGTGACAGGAGGGAAAACACACGAGTGTGATGGAGGTCCGGTTGGTTTGGGGCGTTGTTTAAAGTCTCGACCGCTGAGGTTGGAGAAGATTACAATGAAATGTCAAGAGGGGCAGTAAGCGAGATCCGTCAAACACAAAACTCCGTCCTTTCCCTACAAACGTTCTGTTTCCTGCCACATGCATTCAATTGGGTTGTACTAATCTCTCATGACATGGCACATTGAACTTTGACCCCGAGCGTATTGGCAGAGCTGAGGAGAGCCTTCTTCAAATTCTTTTATTCTCTCGCAACGTGAGCGATTGCGCCCCAAGATCACAAAGGCGCTGAAGAGTCTCACACGGGAAAAGCGTAGAATCCATTAAAAGGTTCATGAAGAGAAATGCTCGCACGGTGGCCCCTGAACGCACCACTGGGGTGAAAGTTCACCTGTGCTTTCCCACAGTTCTTGGTCCTTTCTCAGGGACTTGTAGGAAGGGGGCCGGGGGAAGTAGGCTCCTCCTCGTCTGAATCAAACTCCACATTCTCGTCCCTCACCCACTGGCCGCTGCGGTCCTTCAGCCACCCGTCACTGGGAGGCAGATAGAGCACCATGAAATGGAAGCCACCATGCTGGAACAGTCAAATATGCTGGACTATCATCTGATAAGGAAAACGTACAACGTCTGCCTGAGCGACAAAACCACCGGCCTGTACCTTTTCAGTTTGAGATAGTGCTGCAGCTCTCTCCTCCTCTGTTCGGGTAACGGCTCCTCCTGCTTCTCCTTCTCCAGCGGCATTGCACCTTTAGGTCCTTCTAGGTCTGACGGTGGTGCCCCTTCACCGGCTACACAAAAACATCCCCTCGATTAAAGCCGGGGGTTCTCCTCAACCATGTCTGAACATTAAAGACTTCACCTGCTGAACTCTGGGAATCTTCAGATTTCTTTTTTTCTTTTTGTTGTTGGGACGTCGTCTGTTTGCAGGCGCTGAGGCTGAATTCTGAGCCGGTGCTCGGCGGCCCCTTTTCCGATTTCGTACTTGAAAATAAAAATAGATTTAGGTGAAGTTTTAGGGTTTTTAAATGATTTGTAGGTGTAGACGCGTTAAAAAGGCCCACTCACCTTGTTTTTGTATGGCAGCTGTTATATGGCGCCGTCTTCAATAAAGCGTGATGCGTCAGCCGCCGTGTTTGTTCCAGCAAAGGGGCTGAACAGGAGGGCTCCTAAAAACGTGACGAAAACACTGGAAGTAAAACCGTAGGGTCTCAAAAGTCAAAGAGAGCTCGCTCAGAGGTCAGCTCCACTAAATGGGCTGTTTATTGTTCCCACGGCAGACAAAATGAGGTCATTCGTCAGGGTCATACGAGAGTCACACCGGGGCTAAAGAATACCTTCGCCACACAAAAACAACAACAACAACATGCTTTAGACTCAGCTGAATGGCACCAGTTCAAGTTACCGACCTGCCTTGTGTCTTCGGCCTGGACGTAGTTTTCGTGATGCCGTTTCAACCTTTCATTCTTCAGTCGGGCTTTCTTGCCATAGAACGCTTTTAATCCTGAGAAATTGACACACGAAAAATTCATACCGTGCAAGAACATATACATTTGTCAACCATCAGATCATTTTCATTACATTTCTATGATTTTTAAAAAAATTATTGCAATAATAAGCATATGTGTGGTTATTCTATGCAAAAACAGCCGCTTTATTCATTCAACATAATAATTCAAAGGGTGCTGTTGGCATCGATTCACGGCTGAACAGAACATGTTGATGTTCGTCCCGGTTCTTATTCCTTTAAAAGATGGATAATAAGAGCGACTCGTGTCTCACCTTCCAGGTGCCTCTTCCCGTTCCTGTGGACCGTCAGCGTGTCCACGGTGTCGAACACCGGACGGTGCGAGCACACCACGCAGCTGTATCTAGAGACCGAATGAACGCGTTGGATTTTAAACGCCAAGTGACTTTTCACCCTGAAAACGAGTCAGTGTTCGAGTTTATTTCACCTTCCGTTTCTCATTAGAGCCGCTTCATCGTCTGGTATGAAATTAGACAGAAGATCCGCTACGCGACGCTTCTGAAACACGAAGACAAAAGGTGTTTGTACAAGTTGAAATGGCATGACTCGTTGTTGTTGTTGTTAATTGTATTAGTTTCACAGTTGTAACTTCTCCCCAGGTGGCTAACCATAACAACGTGATTAACGTCTCTTCTACAAAGGAAAAAAAAGTTAAATGGTACCTGGAGTATGTTTAACTGACTCTTGTCATCACCTTCCCGTTTAAAAGACATAATTTGTATGGTTGATAATCTGAAACCGATGACAGGTTAGCATAGTTAGCTGGCTAGTAGTAGCAACTTCTTTTTCCGGTGCTACCTCCTACTTCTTCTTCGTTGTTTTTGTTAAATGTAGTGTAATTTGTTTAACTCATTACCGCCCTCTACCGACCTTCCGCTTCTATTACGTTCTAAATCTAGATATCAATGTTGCGTTCCTAGTCGAATAGGAAATGGAGAAGTACAAGTTTACCATCAAAAAAGTACGGTTCACCCCAGTTTTTGGATGGTAATTTGTTTTGATGTCCGAATTGGGAAATTATCCCCGATTTCTTCTTGATTTAGTGAGGTATGCATACAAGAGAGCGTGATAACTAGTCAACGCTCCTACTATATTGTGCAACTGCTTGGTCAAAACATGTTTCGTATACCTTGAAACGCTAGCTCCGATGTATGCTTAGAATTCACCATAAGTCTTGCGTGCCCACCGAACTATTCAATCGACTCGTGGCTAACGGAATGACGTTAGTGCCATCGCCTCCATTTGTCCCGGGGTTTCCGATTGTGATGAACGCAACTCATGTGACGAACCACGGGACTGGTTGCGGGGATTCGGCAGCCATGGCAACACATGGCAGCCAGCAGCTAACTGAGAACACATCGGCAACTTTATCGGCAACTTTTCAGACGTTTGTTTCAGAGATGTGTTCGGTGGGACTTGTTGTCAACTATGCCCGTAGCCGACACACGGGTTGGACAAGTGACGTCAGCGAGTCAGAGTTTAACACGGGAACTAAAGGACCGGCCGGGCTGTCAACCCAAATGAACGCTAGCTAGGTTTAAAGTTGTCAACTCCGCTAACAGGCTAACTAAGCCGCTTGTTTGCTCACTTAACGTTAGCTTATATATGCTAACTAGCGTTAAATAAGCCGCATTCTCGAGATGTGAGTGACACGTTAGTTTTGTAGGAACTGCCATCTAACACCGGTTGCAAACTGGTTGTAAACGCAACACCCGAGCGCTTCGCGACCGTCATGTCCGGGAAGCGAGCGCCTTCGCCGGCCCGGGGGAACGGCCTGCTTCACGGCAGCCGCACCAGGTCTTACGGGAGTCTGGTCCGGTCTCCGCTGTCCCCGGTTCGACAGGGACGCATCGAACACAAGCTTCAGCCGGAAGACACGCTGCAGGGCCTGTCCCTGAGATACGGGGTGTCCGTAAGTATTCCTTCCCTACTGTCACTACTTAACTTTACGTTAAGTCGGTGTGTATTTACGTTCGTTCTCTCCTCAGCAAAACGTGTAGTTAGGCCCAAACGTGATGGGTGATATTATAATATCTGGCCTCCGCATGGAATATTCATGTTTTTTCTATACGATTATGTTCACAATTAACATTGAATGTTGTGTGCCCGTTTTTTCTTGCTGTCTGTTTTTTAACTTCTTTATTGTTCAGTGAAATTAAGTACCTAACATCACAACCAGCACCGTGCTTTATGCAATTAAATTGTATTTTCAATTTGTGGTAACTGGCATGAAATAATCAGTGTGCTGCTCCATAATTTCAGTAAAAAGCAAAAAAATCTGCACCGATGCTTTTTATATTTCTCGACGACTTTGGCCAAGTTTGAAGCCGATGACTTAATCTCCTGCAGATGGAGCAAATCAATCGGGCCAACAGGCTTTACGCCAACGAGTCAATATTCCTGAGGACGTCCCTCTCGATCCCGGTGTGGTCGGACTCGGACCACGGCAGCAAACGGGTGGATTTGGTCGGGGAGGATGGTAATAAAGGCGGCTCTGCCGGGCTCACTGGGAGTTGCCCAGAGAGGGAGCCACAAAAGGACGGCAAAGAAAGGGAGTCGGACCTCACTCCGGTAGATTTTCTGAAGAGGCTGGATGGATTGATATGTCAGTCCAAGCATGCCGCCGTCAAAGGATGCCAGAGCGCAGAGAAAAGGTACGGCCATTGACGCGCACCATTCACGCCCTTCCGTCTCCTTTTTGCCTCGTCATCGTTATGAAAATGATCCACCGGAAAAAGTTTTCACCCGAGAGCTGTTTAATGATTTGGTAGAACTCGTACTGGCGGAGCAAGTCTGCTGACTTCTTGTCTTCCTCTTGTCAGGGTTACCGCCATAGAAGCAGCTTGCTCCAGCGGGACGTCAGGCCGGCGGCCGTTGGCGAGGTCGCAGAGCGCCCTTTCGCCTTCCGGATTGCTGCAGCAGCAGCAGCAGCAGGCGTCACATGTGTCAGTGCCCCTCACTATCACCAAACTCACCAAGAAACTGAGAGACCGGGAGGACGAGATCTTCCAGCTGTGACATGCTGTAGATCAGCGGTCTCCAACGAGTAGACACAACAAGAGATGTCACTCTTTTTTCTTTTTTCCATTCGCTGACATAATTTTTCCCTTTTGTCACCAAATGATTATTTTCAGATGTCAATGAAATGAGTTGCGTTTCTTTCAAGCTCAGTAACATTAGTGCAGCCGTAACGTTTGACCATGCTGGCAGACTCCAGATTTGACTACGAGTACAAAAAACGCCGAGGCCAATAAAAGGCACACGATATTATTTTATGAGGAACGGGTAACCTATTCGGTGCAATCCGGTCGAATGCTAAAAGGTTCTGCCGCCAAGTCCACAGCAACTTCTCATGGGACTTTCTGGCTGGTCTTTAGTTCGGTTCTACCAAACTGACAAGCAAGTCACCGCAGCAACAGAGACTTTGTTTACTGACTCAACACAAAAAGCCTTTTGCCAAAGAAAAGATTGAAATAGAAGTGTTGACTGCGGTGGCTGAAACCTTTCTTACATCCCCGTGAAAGTAAGACAGGGTTTAACTGCGTCACAACAACCTGACGCTGTTCGTAGCTCTGTGCCACTCTTCATCCCTCCATGTGAGCTTCAGGGGTGGAAAAGGTCGAGAGAGGCCGCCGCTGTGGAATATGAGGAGCTTCATGCGTCCCGTCGCTGTGTTTGGACTGTGTGTGAAAATGTCATGTCAAACAGATGTCATATTGTACAAATACTACAGGTTACACTACATATTTTAAAAACTGAAATATATTAACTATTTATATTGATTATTATTTTTTATTTTCGTGGCCCTCTATCGGCCAGCCAGCACTGATATGATTTAGAACATTCCCAGATCCAGTAAATATTAAGTCGAGGAAGCAAACTTTCTCTCTGCCCTAGAGGCCGGTAATCTCTACGGTGTGTTTGCATCGGCCTTCTTTTGTAATTTCTTACTGCACCGATGGATTTATTGGTCAAACGTCTATGTGGGCTGACCTTGTCTCTGCCTGTAGAGATGCAACCAATGGATGTAGTTCTAGTTTAAAGTTCCCTTTAAACGTTTTTCCAAAAAATAACCTCTTTTCTAGTGTGTTGACAAGATGCAAATCGCTACAAGGACTCCAAGTTGCTTTTCTTAAAATGCCTTTAATACATGTGGCTTCATGTGCAAAGTGTCACTGTGCCCAACATGCCCAGATTACGAAAAGCAAATCATAAATGCAGCATTTTACCTCATAAGAATGTATAAACACTTATTTATTTAACTATTTATACTTTACGGTCATTTTTATTACATTCCTAATAACCCAAGAACAGTGTTTCGGTTTTAAACAGATTCAGTGATGTCAACTGTTTTTAAAAAAAAATATAAGGCTTTTATGTGGCGTTTTCTTTTTATTCCTTTTATTTTTACACATCAAATCTGTATTTTATAATTTAAAGTGTGGGAAACTGGAGTCCCCACAGAACAACCACAAAGCTGTCTGTGACTGTTGTTGATCAGTGGCAGACATCCTGGCCAAATAACCTTTTGACACTATTCAAACCATTGGTTTTATAAAGATGTAAGTCTTCTTTTGGAAAATGCCAGGTGCCAATCTGAGAAGTGTTCTGAAATACGCAGTTCCTTTCACTCGGATGTGACTGCTCCTAAATGCCCCGTCGTTCCACATACTCTTACAAAATCAAGTGGTTGGCCGTTCTCTCCGTGTTGTAAACCTGGAACTCTAAGTAGCCAGAATGCAAGGAGCTAAAGTTAAAAACCTCTCTTCATGGACTAGAATCTTCAATAGAATTCAAGAGTTGATATAGTTAATTATATCCTCTACCACAGTATGGAGACATATAATAGGGGTGGGGGGTTGTATTAATATTTATCTTATACGTTTGTATGTGTGTATGTTTAGATGTATGTAGGTCTGTTTATTTGTATGTATGTGTGTATATTCATTGTAATGGATAGTTGATGTGTAATGCATATTTTGAAAATTAATAAAAAATTTGATCACAATAAAAGAATCGGGGTGCTAGGGTCAAGACGGGGGGGCTGTAATTGGGGGTTCTGGCGACAGGAAACGGGGAGGCGGCCTGAGGCGGCGAGGTGGAAACCTCCTTTTGATCCTTTTGGACTTTTTGGCGATAATTTTGAGTGAAGCTGGGAGGATGAAGCCCATTGCTCTTTTTTCAAGGGGGTCACTCTTGCTTTAGAAAATAAAGAAGCAAATAAACGCCGGATTATATTTGGTTAGTATAAGTAGAGTCCAGTTAAGGCCCGATTTTTTTCTTTTGTCTGTGAATTTTATTTTTTTGTTTAATGTAAAACCAAAGAAGAACGGCGGTCTTAATCTCCATTGTCTGGGATCCGACCTCGGGAATGACACAAATGATCAGATTAACATACAAGCTCCGTTCAGTCAACACCATTTTAAGAGTAGAGCGTTTTTGTTCATGCTTCCGATTGTGTTGTGAAGCAGAGACACACAGTGTTGGTGTGCAATTGTCTGCTTTGTGGGTCATTTGCTTTATTCTCGGCTGCATTGTCTTCCTGCCGCCCGGATACACACGTCCAGTATGTCGGCCATCGTCTTCACCACCAGAAGGCAGTGCAGTATTACAGTGGCATCGGCCCCCGGCTCTCCTCTTTATGCAATCAGTTTGAACTCCTCCTCCTCATCTGGATACACAACATCAGTAGTTCACAATGAAACATTTCACGGTCTCACGAATTTACATCAGATGGCTTTTCATAATCCAACAAAAAGACTGATATAGAATGAACCGGTTTAAATTCAAGTTTTGTCTTTTTGTTTCAGTGAACTTGGTCTGAAAAGACAAGTACACATTACAACTATACACTATTAATCTCCTATAAACGTAAAGAAAAAGTCAACCAGCTGTATTTGTATCCCACGTGTTCTTTAAGAACACGGCGGCAGCGGTTTTGTTCTTAAATCTCTTGTCTTGCGTCGCAAGTCCTCAGCAGTGCAAAGACTCAATCTGTCCAACGGCCTCTGCTGCGTTTGCCCCCGTTGACCTCCCGGTGTGACTTCACAAAAAGAGTCCATGGGTCATATTGTCCCGTCCTCCACCAGTTTGTTGAGTCCTTTGCAGATCTTGGTGAGGTTGGGTCTGAAGGCGCCGCCGGGTTCGTACAGCTTGGTCAGGAGCTCCGGGTTCGAGTAATGGTTGAAGACGTGGTTGATGCGGCCGTGGGACTTGGGGGTGAGGTGCGTGTTGACCAGCTTCAGCAGCAGATCCCTGCAGCTGGTGAGGAGCTCCTCCATCACGGCTTGGTCAAATGTAAAGTCCACCTGCACCAGGCGAGGGGAGGAGGGGGGCAAATGTTAGAGAGGTACAATGAGGCTGTTTTCTACTTGGCAAAGGATGTCACTCAAAAGGGGCACTTGTAACCTTATGAGAAGGATTTATATACACATATGTTCATTAAAAGCATCCTTTTTGTGTCCTACCTGCCACCCATGTCTTTGTCTTACTTTAACATTAACTTCCAGCTCGAGGCCGGGTGAGGGTGGTCAGGCTAACTAGCTAACTAGCTAGCTAGCTAGCTGTTGGGCCTTGAAAGAGCTCCAGTTACAAAACTGTAATCAAGGAGTGGACTTCGTCATTGTGGCGTCACCCTTCAGTCTCATGTTCAGCGATTTCACCATGTTTGCAATACGGCCGTAAGAAAAATAACATGGCATTAAGTCATTTTGTGCTAAGTTGCACTTAAATAACTGCGCGTTAACAGGCGTTAATTGTTCCTTTTCATTGCTTCATTCTTTAGGAACAGTGACTTCTGGATTTATTGATACATCAGCGTCAGAGAAATGTGCGATCATTTCCGTCAACTTAAGAGACGTACCTCGTAGAAGCTGATGGCCGTCATGGCCCCCTGGTGCAGCTTCTTCTTAAAATCCGTGGCCACCCCCAGCTCCGCCGTGCTGAAACGGTTATTCCTGAACAGCAAGCCGATCTTCACGGCGATCTTGATCAGGTCTTTGATCACCTTCTGGGCCTCCGACTTGTTACCCGAATACTCCTTGGAGACGCGGTACAGTTCGTCCAGGATCTCGCTGGTGGTGTCGTCGATGAACATCTGGACGGAGCTTTTGGTGGCCATGGAGCTGAGGATCTTCTTCTGCGCCCTCAAGGCCATGTCCTTGGAGCTGAAGGCGTCCATGGTTGCCTGAAGTGTGGAGGACAAGGGAGACAAAAACGTGTTTGACTAAAGATAATGCATTGGCAGAGTGACGGCATCGGAAAACTGCACTTAATATGGGGAAAACCCATCAGGGTATATGTAGGTGCTGACGTAGCAGAAGAGGAAGAACATTTTCACACATCTGGTTGCCGCTCTGTCACTGGCAGACAGCCAGCAGCTCAGGTGGAGGAGGTGGAGGTTAAGTGCCACGTCCAAGTGGCCATTGGTTCGTTGTCATGGAGGCTTGGGAGGGCAACATGTGTTCACCCCACGTACGTGACCTGGGGATCCAGTCGTTACCCAGACCTGATATAACCCTCTAACCTTCGTATCGCCACTTGTCCATATTAGCGACAAAGATGTGGACAATCAAAACTCAAATCCTTTTTTATTCCTGGAAATAAAGTCGGTTTAGTGATTTACCAACGCTTTAAAAATACAGTGAATTGTGTCATGTTTTTAAAAAGAAACCAAACACCGCTTTTATGTAACGGTGTGTTCCAGTTTGTGTTTTGTTTTTGCAACTGACGAGCGCTGCCAAGAGGGAAAAGCACCACGCGAGAGACTCCACAGAGGACTTTAGTTTCTCCACCGAGACCCAACCACACCTAGCATCCGTCACAAAGCCTCCCTCCGGCCCCCCCGCGGGAGGTCATCAGCATGCGTGCTGCAGGCAATGACACCACTACAGAATCCACAGTTCATCTTCAACTGTCAACATATTTTCAACGAATTCCTTTTTGATTGCTTGTTTACGCCCCCCCCTCCCCCTCCCTCTCCCCCATCTCCAGCATGAAAGCAGATTCAGAAATCGTTCACTAAGGAAAACTGCTGAATATCAGAGGAAAATGAAGACTGAAAGAATCCGAGTAACACAATTCAAACCATAGAAGAAGCAAAATGCTTCCTTGTAGAGAACTTAGCAATTGTTTCATCTCCATTCCCACAAAGCCAAAGGACAATGCATGTCAAATAATTGACTGAGTATTTGCAGTGAGATCCACCAAGACGTACAGTATCTCTAGCTGGCATCAGTTCCACTATGACTTCCTCTCGCACTTCCTGTGGCATCTGGTCACACGTTCACACACTTTTATGGACCCTCAGTGCTCAAACAAGCACCTTTTAGCTGCAACTTTCAGTGCACTAGATTCCACTTCTGGCCTGTGTGGACAAGTGCAGCAAGAGGAGCAGCGAAGGCTGCATAGCTGAGACACGTCCATGCCTGCGTCTCCCAGATTGCATCACTGGTGGGGGGTTGCAGAGATCCGCTGAAGTTAGCATCGCACTGGTTCCCTCGAACAGGAAAGAACGACTTGATGCAACAATGGTAAATTTGGTGTTTTACTCAAAAAGATGATCTTCGCAAAAGAACACCACTCATTTAATATTTATAGCGTGAATGCAATAAAGTGCAACTAACTAACCTTATTCGCTACAACGCGTGTCCAATTTAGCCACTTGTTAGCAACCCCACCAATTTCAACTTTAACGAACAGATATTTGTCATTGCGCATTTTTGAAAATGCGTTGACTCACACGAGTTAAATGCTTGTCATTTGTGGGGTTTGGGACTAAGTGCTTTATTACTGGCCTGGGGTCTGCCTTTATGTTAAACAAAAGCCGTTACTCTGTTGTTGAGACAGCCTGTGCATTGTTACCAGCATTCTGTCCATAAGCTGTCGGCTGAATGACGGCCTCATGTTTGCGTTAATGTGTTCTTTCCAAGCTTGTTAATACTGTCGATGACTCACAGTCGGCGATGTGAGCAAACGGCTCAAACGAAAAGGGATCTGCTAAAACTAACGATCATATCATGTAAATACGCAGAGTTCCTCCCCGTCCCTAATGTGCAGCCTGATTCCCAGCGGAAACATCCGTAATAAGCAAACATTCACTTTCTCTTCTTCTTCCTCTTCTTCTTTTTAATGGAATATCTCACCAGGTTCCATTTCCAAACTCGGCCATTAATCCCGAGTGCCACGTTTTCCAGCGGCTTGCTTTGTTACGCCAGCCGTGGGGAATTAAAGAACGTTCATTAGATTAATTTCCCTCAGCGCGCGATGATGGGAGTGAAGCAGCGTGATACCTGCTTCAGACTCGTGCTTCAATCCCATTTTTTATTAGCTGACAAAAAAGAAAAGAAAAAGGGACCCCAGGGATTCTGGGTATTCCTCATCCGCCTCACTGAGATGTGGCTCCTCGGCTGGAGACCGCCGGCTGCTCGGCTTTTCGGTTTTTGCCTCTTTCTCGCGCTCCCACGTTGTTTGTTTGAAGCAGACCCATCAGGAGATTGAGGCCGGTTGACCAGAGCCTCCAAGCCTCCAAGCCTTTACGCCGTCGCGGTAGCACATTGCCACGAAACCACTTTTTTGCGTAATGGGTGTTGCTCAGTCGGGCCACACCGAGGACGCTTCAGATGCTCGCCATCAATTTTTGGATAGAAGGGAGCTTATAAGCATCGCTGGCGACCGCCAGAGAGTGACACCGTTACCCGTTCGAGTGTTTGTCGCCTCCCCGACTGATGCCCGTTGGAGTTGACGGGCACTTGTATGCTGAGTGAGGTCTGACACTGCCAGAGGGGCCAAAATGATTAATAGCAGAGGCGGAACTGACCGTAAGCAGCCGGGCGGGGAGGAGGCCTTAACTCTGGGTTAAAGTGCCGATCGGTGGAGCCACGCGGGCGGCCAGGAGAGGTAAATATTTAGCATTCCTCAGAAGACTCCAACATCGAGCCTCCGCGTTTGCACGGACATGTGTGAACTTGTGCGTGCTTTTAGAGGGAAAAGTGGTTTCCGGTTGTTTTTTGCATCCAGGTGTTTGTGTGTGTGTGTGTGTGTGTGTGTGTGTGGATAAACCATCTCACGGGGCTCAGATGGGGATTCTTGATGCTCCCTTTTCCCTTTGCGCTGTTATCAGAGTGCATTGCAGGACTTTGTTGGCACAAGCTCGACAGAAAGACATCCTCGGTGACTTTCATCACCTGGGGATGAGTGGGAAAGGGGGGAGTGTGGGTGAGTGTGGGGGGGGGGGGGCTCTTTCAGCCTTTGATCCGATTGTACAATGAGACTGTTCCAGAAAGAAAAGCAAAAAAAAAAACACAACAAGCCATTCCGCTCTATCGGATGAAAACAAGGAGGCCGTTGTCGAAAGGTCGTCACTGAGCTGCAAAGGTTTACGATTGACTGGTAGAAACGTGTGACGATGAACCAAAGATGATTACGCAATAACAGCGAGGCTACAGGGACCGTGTCAGGATGTCACTTCCTGTGTGCGTTTTGAACTTGTCTCTTTTCTGTCTTTAACTCTTATGCTCTTTTACTTTAGTCTCACACTTAATTTGCAAGTGTCATACACAGTTTGCATGAGTTTGACCTCGTGCATTTGTCAAATAGGTTTGTTTTCAGTGCTTTTTAATAATAGATGACAAAGCATTTTGATATCCTCCCCCAAAAAAACACCTCTCTGCAGTCTCTCTTTCTATGTTGCACAACCCTCCCGGGGAGCCGTTTGGCCCGAACGGGAAGCGAAACCGACAGAAAGTCGTCTTCAACGCCGGGGAGCCGCCAGCCGAGGCCCGCCAATATGATCTACACCCCCCCCCTCCCCCCCACCCCCCCTTTATCTGTTACTACTTCAAAATCAAAGCAGAACTTTTGGGGAAAGGAAAGTCCAACCACCCTCCAGGTTGGGGTTGAGCAACGCCCCCCCCCTCCTCCCCTCCTCCCCCTCCTCCCCCTCTCCCCTCCCCAGTGTGTGCAAACCTCAAAGTGTGAGCGCAACATCTGTACGTTGCCACCCGTGCACTCGGCTCGAGATGGGGAAGTGGAGAGAAGTCACACAGTTTGTTTCCGATCACCGTTCTCAATGTGTCCACAGAGAAAATCGAGAGGGAGGAACTCAATCAGTCCTCCGGGCCCGCAGGACGATTGATCTCTTCCTCAGTGTCACATGAACACGGTACAAGTTCTCTTACCTGTGTTGCTGAGGCCCTCTCCCTCCTGCTCTGTCAAATCTCTCTCTCTCAGTCTCAGGTTGACAGCGAAGGCCAGTTAGATTTAATTGGATCGCTTCATCTTCACCACAAGCAGATTCAAAAAGAATTCTAAAAGAAAAAAAGTGTCCTCCTCCTGCAGCGCTTCTGTCGGTGCTGCCACTCTGTCTTAAGATAACGTTGAGTTGCACTTCCTTGAGGAACTAAATGGCAATGACACACCCCTTACTGTCTCTCTCTCTCTGTCTCTCTCTCCCCCTCTCTCTCTCTCTCTCACGCCTCTCTTGAGTTTCCCTCTGAGGCTCCAGCCCTGCAGAACAGCTGTATTCTCCCACCTCGGCCCGTCCCGCCTCGACACTGCTGACGTTGTGCCTCTGCTTGTTCTGACAAGTGAAAAGCCCAGAAAGAATTTGGCAGTGATCCGGGGATGCAGCCGCTTCAAAGGGGAGTGGCTCAACCCCTCTCTGCTCTGCGTGTGTGTGTGTGTGTGTGTGTGTGTGTGTGTGTGTGTGTTCACCTGCACTGGAATGCAGCTCCTGTCAGTGCGGCCGAGCGTCCCGCCCTCGCGTGTGCACGTGTCACCTATTCAGGGTAGAATGAAAACAATGAGTGGCCGGGAGTCTCAGTCTGACACACACACACACACACACACACACACACACACACACACACACACACACACACACACACACTCCCAGCCAGCTAAACTCTCTTTTCGACCTGTTGTGCTTTTTGATATAAAGTGAATGGGCAACACGACACAACTACCTTCATGCAGCTCGGAAAACACTCTCTATGTAATTTATGCTTTTGTAATCATTTCTGAGGTCGACAGTGATCTTAATCTGCCAAGTTATCCACGTAAAAATGACGTGACTGTAATTCTGCAATGCCGGGGCGTCGTGTGATAATAATAATAATCCTGTGCAAATCTGCATCTCAGGGATCTTGGGTTGTATAGTTTCATTTCGTTGCGTCTGCAGGTTTCCAGGTTGAGAGCTGTGCACAGCGTGTTTGTAAGTACAACTGGACGCTCTCACAGCATTCTGGGTACAAATCCTGGAGGCTCGACTCAACTACATGTCTACACAGCACGGAGAGCATGAATAGGCCTATAATTCACACATTATTAGATGCAGACATAATGTGCATTATCTTGACATATATTCAAAGCCATGATATCACACACGGGGGAATAATGGCAGATGTGAGACCCATGCAGACTACTCCAATGTGCATTTACGACCGAGCCGTTTATTTCCTTCCGGTAATGAATCGTCAGCCTTTTTAGTAGTAACACTTGTGTTATGTGTTTTATGGTGTGTGTGTGTGTGTCGATACTGTTTGGTGTCAAATCACAGATACAATTCAATCTAAATCGACTGCACATAAAACTACAGCCACTAAACATTGACATCATTATGATGCAAACTAGTGCCCTTTGTCCCTTTTTTATACATGAAAAACACACTTCATAAAGTAACCCCCCCCCGATAGGTGCGTTTTATTGTGCTCACAGTCTAATAAAACCAAGCGGCATGAATTGAACTTTGTTTAGCTGATTGCCATAAAACCTGACAGACATTTCATCGAGATGGAGACTGGCGTTGTTCACAGCAACGACAGCCGACACGTCTCAAGTCATTCATTTAGAAAACAGGAAGTGTCCCCTGATTCTCAGGCTCTGTGTTTATCTGTAAGTGCATCCGAACAGCAACCAGCTGTGTTGAAAAAAAAACTTTGAGAAAAGAGACCCGTCCAATTAAACCGTCGCAAACGGTAATCGCTGTCAGATGTTCGGGGTCAAAGGTCACACTGAGACCCTCCTGGACTGAGGAGCGTCCGGACGCAACTCCCACCCGCCGGCGTGCCGGCGTCGGGCCAGACACACCTGCCTCCCTTTTTTGTTTTCCGCCTCCCACTCGGCCACTTCTGCAAGAAATTAACTGGGCTGAAGTCTAGCTCAAGTTCGCCACTGCAGAATGAGGTCGGTTGCCGTGGCAACAGACAGGAAGTAGTGCTTAAGCGGTTTCCTGATGGCTTCCTCTTTATCGTGTAATGACATCTCACAAGGAAACATCGTCAGGGAGCACTCAGCTGAACGCGTGCGCGCGCGTTTGCGCGTGTAAGTGTGTGTGTGTGTGTGCGAAAGGTGCGCACTTGACCCGAAATGAGCTCTTACCTGTCTCACCTTTACTGTACACAGCTTACAGACCGGCCTCTTTTGGTTATGAGATAATAGGAGGAATTTCAATTATATCACTTATCTTTCATTAAAAGATTGCGTGGACCTTTCAGCGTCCAACCTTGCACACGCACACACACACACACGCGCGCACACTCAGTCACTCACATGATGGCAGCCTGTTATCACCAGATGACTAAGACAGGAATAACTGACCTGCTAACCACCGAGGGCAGGTCATTACGCCTGAAGACGTGGAACCCGAATGGGAAGGAGGATTTAGTGAGCTCAGGGGCTTTCCACCCACAGCGTCACTAGATAAATGCACAGATCGAGATGAACCGATGCTGCTTCCAGGAAGATCTCATTTGATTGGTCTGCAGCAGAGAGGGACCCCTCCCCCCCCATGATGTGATCAGATTCTGTATATGATCCTACCAGCTCGCTTTTTTTGTTCTCAGTCCCTGATTCATTTAATTGGAACTTCACCCCCTTTTATGAGCAGAGTTCTCCTGCATAATTTTGTAAAAATACATTTTAAACCACGCCACTTCATCCGTCGGGACGGGCAACGAGCAGGTGGCGATCTCGGCGATTATCACCGATGTGTTTAAAACGCTCATTTTCTCTGCTGTTATCTGCTGGATAACAGAAACAGGTGCTTTGTGGTCACAACTTCAACCGCCAGGTCAGCGTTTCGTTGAAACTACCAACGCCTTGTGTGTCATGACCTCATTACAGGAAAATGAGAACATGACACCTTATATGGGCATATAAACATCATATAATGGAATGCAGTCCAAAACAATTCCTACTGAACTCCGATATGCTTCATTTAAACTAGATGCAGAACAACCTCCGCGGATGTCTCGGTGAACGAAGGGAGCGTCCACAGAAACGAGCTCCCAAAATGGCTCACTTTCCAAAGCATCCTGTATTTTGTTGTCATTTTGACATAATTGGTGAAGCAGTGACTTGGTGAATCACGGAGAGTAAAGTCGTCGTCGGGGCTGTGATACAGCCCTCAAATTCTCCCCGAATGTGCACTTTCTTTTAGAGGAAATTGCACCTCTTTTTTTTTTTTTTTCCAACAGTCGGCATAAGGAAGGCATGTTGTGAAACCTGTTGTGAAATTTTTAAGAAAAAAAACGAATGTTTCCAAGAAACGAATGTTTCTTCAGAAGTCAAATCCTTTGGCGTATGCCGCCAATGAAACAAAGAAGCGACATGCTGGTCTTCTTTAAGGAACCTTAAAATGTCACACAGACTTTATCTTAACCAAAGATCGGGAAAAGAGCCCGGGAAAAAAGAGCGGGAAATGTTTGAATGTATTTAAAAGTGTTTTGCCATCATCTTAACTTGCCATTTGACTCTTAATTTTAAATCAACCAATCGACACGACGAAGCATTCAAAAAGCAGAGTGAACGTTGCGAACGTAGAAATACCTGTTTTATTTTAATTGATGATTTACACTGAAATGATATTCTCCGTGTCAGACCCCCCGTCGCCTCGTGATCTGCCAACCCCCGACCCCCCCCCCGCCCCCGGCCGCTCACAGGATGGAGCAGGAGCCGCTGCGCATGGGCAGGTTGGCGGGCAGCTTGGCGCACTGCTGCCGGAAGCTGTTCCTCTTGATGGCGAGCCGTGGAGCCGCCTTCTCCGGCCCGTCGGCGGGCGACGAGGACCCCGCCGTCGCGTCCCCCTGCGGCACCTCCAGCTTGGCCCCCTTGCTGTTCTTAGTCTTTTTGGCTCTCTCCTCGGCCTCGGCGGACGCGCCGGCGGGCTCGGCGGCGTCTTCTGGCGGGGGCAAGGCGTCCAGGGGGAGGTCGCTGGGGCTCTGCTTCCCCTCCGCGTGCTCCTCACTGCCGCCGATGTTGAGGTTGGAGCTCATGCGCTTGGCGTTGGTGCTCATGGAACTAGTGCGGTTACACATTGGTGGAGTTTCCAAAGGGTTATTCAGACGAGTAAATAAATCCGTCCTTGGAGTGACATCATTGTAGCCATTTTAAACTTGTTGGTGGCGTTCGTGTCGCTTTTGTCCACTCACCCGTTGGAGCTCTTCTCCTCCGAGTCCTTCTGCTCGCTGCTGTAGCGCATCTCCGCCGGGGTCTTGAACGACAGGTCCCGCTTTCCCTTCAACCAGTAGGTCTTCATGTACCCTTTACCCTGGAAGAGGGCAGGACGGTGGCGCGGCGGTCAGACACACGCACGGATGGAAACACAAAATGTCTTGAAGAATTGACTCGGGTGAATTCCTGTGATACAACAGGTGCGTCACTTGAGTTCCACACCTCATCTCGGGATAACGTATGTTAAATCTCACAGCCACGAGACGGACCAAAGCTGACAAACTAGTTATTGTGACGTCCGTGCCAGTTAGAGGGTGGTGTCGTCTGCAGAGAATAATCCTATTGTAGCGGATACGAAGGACTCACCTTGACAAAGATTTTGCCCCTCTCCTCGATGATGTAGGGCTCGTGTTCCAGGTGGTCTTTGCTGGTCTGACTGATGTGTATCTGCATGCCCTGCTCAGTCAGACACACACACACGCACGCACTGTGGGAAGGGTTGGATTCTAAAGAGGTTTTTCTTCCTTTCCGTGTGCAGTGAAGTGTTATTCAGCCTCCCTTTTTAATTTATTTTCTTTTCATAGGAAAAACAGATTTCCATCAAAACATGACATCATATTACTGTAAGTAATGGACAGCAAACGAGGCGATTTGCCAGTTGCATTAACTAAAAAGCAGCGTGCACAATGACTTCATTAAACAGAAAATGGTTTTCAATACTAATCTACTTCAAAATGGGACTGAGGGAGATTGTTGCTGCAGTCATTCATATTGCCGCCGCGGGTTATTTGCCACACTTTGCCGGGTGGCGGCTTATGAAATATGATATTCACCACTCCATTGCTCTCCATCCTCGAGGCTGTATTCACGGTGTCGCCAAACATGCAGTAGCGAGGCATCTTCAGACCCACCACGCCGGCGACCACCATACCAGAGTGAACACCTGGGGGGGGGGGAGCTCATAGAAACAAACTGGCAAATCGTACAGGCAAAGCCTGGTTTTCTTTTAAAGTAATCATTTGTCTCTCACTCATCACTGAGCCAATATTTATTTAAACCTCTGCAATCCAAAGTTGTCTGTATAAGCAAACAAT